ACAGCTGGTGGGTTTGAACCACCAGCCTTGTTACTAGCAGTCCTGTGCTTATCCTACAGTGCCACACCAGGATGCAGAAGAAGTTGGCAGAATTCTTCAATGTCATCATCACTGGCTTTAGTGGTTAGTGTGTAAATTTGAATAATAGTGGTATTAACTGGTCTTCCTTGTAGTCATATGGATATTATCCTATCACAGACAGCATTGTACTTCAAGATAGATCTTAAAATGCTCTTTTTGACAATGAGTGGGATGCCTTTCTTCTTCAATTTGATGTTCCTGGCATTGTAAACCACATGATTGTCACATTCAAAATGACCAACAGAGTCCATTTCAGCTCACTAATGCCTAGGTTCTTAGTCTTTATGGATTCTTTTTCATTTTTGACAATTTCCAATTTTCCTAGATTCCCACTTGGCACATTCTATGCTCGTTATTAGTGGATGCCCACAGCTGTTTCTTCTCATTTTGAAGGTCCTGGAAGTCTTACCCCATTCATGTCATCTTGGCCAATTGTGCTTTGAGGAGGTAGAACTTCCCCAATCATATATTGAGTGCCTTCCAACCTGAGGGATTCAATTTCTTGCACGATATCTGACAATGTCCTTCAGCTGTTCATAATGTTTTCATTTTCCAGCACTGTATCTGACAAGGATCCACGGCTATTTGTAAGTCTTGAGTAATCATTCAGAAGTAGTCGGCCTCTTCCTTCTAGTCTGGCTAATCTTGAAGCTCCATTGGAACCTGTTCACCTTGGGTGACCCTGCTGGTATTTAAAATACCAGTGGGCATAGCTTCCAGCATCACAGCAACACACAAGTCACCTCAGTACGACACACTGACAGAAGAGTGGCAGAACAACTGATGGTGGTGGTAGTTATGTGCCGTGGAGTCGGTTCCGACCCATAGCGACCCTGTACAGGGTTTCTGAGGCTGTAAATCTTTACGGGAGCAGAACGCCTCATCTTTCTCCCATGGAACAGCTGGTAGTTTCGAACTGCTGACCTTAAGGTTCGCAGCCAATTCGTAACCACTTCGCTACCAGAGCTCCTTAACAACGGATGATGGCTACCCATTATTGAATGCCGACAGCAAGCTAAAGAGTTCTGGTTGTGCAGTGGTTAAATACTTGGCTGCTAGGTGCTGTGGGATAAAGCACTGAACTGCAAAGTCGAATCACAAGGTTGGTGGTTCAAACTCACCACCCGCTCCTTGGAAACCCCATACAGAGTTGCTATGGGTTGGAACCGACTTGACAGAAAACAAAATTTCTGCAGCTTAAACTCACCTGCCACTCCAATCTCAAGCTTGAAAACCCTTTAAGACAGTTCTGCTGTGTCCTATTGAGTGACTATGAAGCTGATGGCTACAGACTTGGTTTGGGTTTATACTACAAACTAGCTACATCACCTCCTTTGGTCTTGCCAACTATTGTTAGCTCCATTGCACTAAGAATCATGGAGGCTTAGGACAGCAAAGGCTTCTGTGAATTCATCCAATAAGTGGTGGTGGTGGGGACTGTGTGCCATTGAGTCATTTCGGAGTCAGTCACTGAAACACTGTCTAGGGTTTCTGAGGCTAGAAATCTTTACAGGAGCAGAAAGCCTCTTCTTTCTCCACCAGCAAATGGCAGATGTGGTAAATGTGGAAGAAACTATATGAGTACTGCATTCTCTTACCCCTTCCTATTGGATGATGATGCTAACAAAGGCCTGTGGCCTAGGAACAAATAAAATAATTGGCCCAAAGGGGCCCACCTGCGGTCTCATTAAACTCTGTGTTCTAATCAGCTTTAGCTTATTAGATGAACTCTTGACCAAGCAACAGCTTAGCCTCTGATTAACTTATTCAACTCAGACTTCATTCTGTTGTAAAATGTGTCCATCTACAATACAAAGAGTTCATCCATCAACAACTTCTCAGCAAAATTTCTGTTCATAATCTAAGTAGACTTCACACTCTAGTGTGTGTACTTCCCAAGGAAGCTTTGGTAAAATTATAGATTCCTGTTTTTCACCAACTGAAACTCTGATCCCATGAAATTAAGGTCTTCCTTTTTTTCGCTGACCCTCCATTTTACCAAGCATGATATACCTCTCTAGATTCTGGTCTATCCTGACAACATGCCTCCTGTTAATATCAGAGATGAAGTCTGACCATCCAGCACAGGTTTGTTCTTCTATTAGTCCGTGGTACTACTTTCTGTATTCTTCTCCAACACCATAATTCAAATGCATTCATTCTTCTTTGGTCTTCCTTATTCAATGTTCAGCTTTCACATACATATTATGTGATGGAAACTAAGGTAGAACTAGAGAATCTATATTTTATCTAACATTCCCAGATGATCCTTAACATATTATCCACAGACCATGTATTGGCTAGAGGTCAAAGTACGGTTAAGGATGATATATTCAACTCCAGTTAAAACCAGATGTGTCCACTTCTCTATAGAAGTAGCCATGACAGTTTTCTCATACTTGCTCACATGAGAACCCATTTTAACTTTATCTTTTTTGTTTAAATTTAGCACAGAAAAAAATTTTTTTATATTATCTTATATGCCACATATCACATGCTACATGGCTTGTTGCTATTTATAATAGCATTACATGCTCAATGAAGAAAAGTTACAAAAATAGAAAACCAAAGAAAATTCTACCATCTTCAGTTATGAGGTAAGTAGAGAACCTAGTGGTTGTTTCTGATTTGTTGGTTTATTATTTGCATGAAAATCTAAATGAAGGATGATGTACAGCAAAAACACCAAGTAGAGGCCCCTTTGGAGCTTGTTGTTGTTGTTGTTATGTGCCGTGGAGTTGGTTCTGACTCATAGCGACCCTGTACAGGGTTTCTCAAGGCTGTAAATCTTTATGGGAGCAGAAAGCCTCATCTTTCTCCCGCGGAACAGCTGGTAGTTTCGAACTGCTGACCTTGTGGTTCACAGCCCGATTCATAACCACTACGCTACCAGAGCTCCTTCTTTGGAGCTTACAGATAGTTTTTGTTACAATAAGTCTTCCATTGTCTGGAGGAAGAACTACTTTTATGAAACTTCTAGGAGTTAATGTAACTGGAATAATGTAGTCAAATCAGAGCCCTTTTAGCATAGTTGATTATGAGCTGGGCTACTAACTACAAGGTCAGCAGTTTGAATCTACCAGCATCTCTGAGGGATGAAGATAAGGCTTCCTGCTCATGTAAAGATTTACAGCCTTGAAAACCCTATATAGGGTCACTATGAGTCTGAACTGACTCAACAGCACACAGCCAATAACCAAGAGTCAAATCAGACAGACTTAGATTGAGTATCAGTTCCAACATTTTCTAGTTCTGTGAACTTGGGCATGTTATTTTATGGTTGTTGTTGTTAAGTGTCAGTGAGTCAGTACCATTGATAAGGTTTCCGAGGAGCAGCTGGTAGATTTGAACTGTTGACCTTATGATTCACACAGTCCAATGCTGATCCTACAGTGCCACACCAGGAGTCCTGTTAGTGAACCTCAAAATTTCCATTTCCTCATCTTTTAAAAATAGGGGTGATGGTAGCTATTCCCTAGGACTTAGAGAAGATTAAGTAGACAACATAAGCGCAGTGGAGACCCTGGGTGGTCCAACCTTTTAACAGACTTGGTGGACAGTTTGATTTCACCCAGAGGGGCCTAGGAATAAATGCCTGGTGATCTCCTTCCAAAAAATCAGTCATTGAAAATCCTGTGGAGCACAGTTGTATTCTGACACACATGAGATCACCATGAGTCAGAACCAACTAACCAGCAATTTGGTTTATATGCCTAGTACAATTGTATAGTTAGTATTTGACAGGAGATGGCAATTGTCATAGTAAAACTCAACAGACAGAAAGTAAGAGAAGGGTAAGAAGTCACACAGACTAACCCATGCTTGGGCATATGTTATCTTAAAGAACAATGGTCTGAGGCGAGTTGTGGGTCAGTTGAGTTGGGAAGGAGCACTGGTGTACCTAGCACTGTGTTCGATGATGCCAGATAGAAGCCTCATCTGTTTCACATGAACTTATCCAAGTCCATGTGCTGGTGTTTTTCAAGAATGTCCAAAAGATAACTGCCTTCTATGGTATGAGGTCATTAGCATGGCCCACGCTGTATGAAATGGAGGTCAAGAACAAGATAAGAAGGCACCTATCCCTGCTGCCAGTGCATCCATTCTGACTCATAACAACAGGAAACCTGAATCACAATCCTGCTCAGATTCTGAATCTATAAGTGAAGGAAACTACATTTATACAGAACATTTGTTTCTAAACAAATTTCACATTGTGGTTGTTGTTAAGTGCTGTTGAGTTTGTTCTGACTCATAGCGACCATGTATAGGGTTTCCAAGGAGTGGCTGGTGAGTTTGAGCCACTGACCTCATAGTTCAAACCGACCTGTGGTCCAGTGCCTTGTCCCATAGCGCCACACCAGAACTCCCAAGTATTATGTGGTGGTGGTGGGCTGCAGAGTCAGTTCTGACTCATAGTGACCGTGCACAGGGTTTCTGAGACTGTAAATCTTTACTGGAGCAGAAAGTCTCACTTTCTCCCATGGAACGTCTGGTAGTTTTGAACTGCTGACCTTGAGGTTAGCAGCCTGACTTGTAACCACCATGCTACCAGAGCTTCTTAAATAGTGCATACTAGTGTGTTAATCAAAATACATTTGAAAACTTTATCGTCAACTCCTTAGCAACAACTTGTCAAGGCAATTCTCCTGTGCTGAGCAGATTCAGAGAAGCAAAGTGGTTTGCACAAGGTCACCCACCTGGAAGCGGAAGAATCCGTTTCCAGACCCAGTCTGTTCTTTGTGTGTTTCCAGCACTCATGTAGTTCTGTGCTAAGGTTCCCTCTTCCCTGTACGTTGACTCGCAGTTTCACTCAGATTGTCACATATAAGAAGGTGGGCTTTCTACACAACTCAGGGAAGAGAAGCACAGGCCAGACCCCCCAGTCTGGTCCTTTTACAGGAAAGGTCAGGGCTTACCAGACACAAGGAGTCCTCTCTGGAAAACTTCATACAGAGTCTTGGCATCGGAGAAGTAGTAACGTATTACGTCATTGCTCTTTTGGAGAGGACCCTTCCTTGCTCCTCCCTAAGACAGAAGACAAAGTTAAGACTGAGCCGGAGTCTCTTACAATACTTCCCAAATCCTTTATGGACTGAAAGAAGCGAACAAAGAATATTGGTACCCATGTGATTCCCTTTGAGACCACAGAGATCCCTTTACTGTTTAATCAATCAATCAATAAAGGAAGTATTAGAAAAATGGGCCTGTAATTCCATCCCCTATAGATTATCATAGTTAAGCTTTTATAAAACTTCCCATTCTTGGCTTTGCATATGTACATACATAGGAAAGATAATATTACAGTGTTTTACCCTTTTCATCATGTCAAGTTTAAAACTCTTTGGAGTCCACACTGTGTTGCAGGCACTGTGCAAATACTGCAACTGCAAAATGAACTAAGTGCAGAAGTACTGCCTGTGGAATCAGTTTCAACTCAGAGCGACCCCGTATACGGTTTCTGAGGCTGTACATCTCTTCAGGAGCAGAAAGCCCCATCTTTCTCCCATGGAGAGCCTGGTGGACTCGAACTACTGACCTTGCAGTTAGCAGCCCTATGCATAACCCACTCTGCTAGCAGGGATCCCTTGAGTGATGCATAAATTGGTTTTGGATGAGATTGCTCAGGGAAGAAAATAAAAACAAAATGCTGTGATTTATATTCTGTAATTACAAAAAACACGTATTTGGGCAGACAAAGGAAGTAACCAATTCTGTGCAAATGGTATCTCAATAGAGACAAAGAAGGTAAGTAGGCATTTACCAAAAAAGATGTGGGGTAGAAAGGAAGAAAAGGAAGAAGAGGCTAGAGAGAGAGAACCAAAGAATGGATGCAAAAAAGCACAAGGCAGAATCTGATTGAGAGCGAGAGAGTGGGGTGTTTGAGAACCAGGGAGTAATGAGGTATCTCTAGAAATGTCAGCTGGAATTACAGGTCAGACTCGGAATGGGTGCTGGCATGAATTACAACAGTGAACCAAAAGTAGTCATGAAAGCTAGTCTAGAGAACTAGGCATTATTAAATAAGTCTATGTTAATGGTAATTACTGAAATAAAGCTATAAGAGAACAGGGTAACACATGAGGGCATAGTGAGGAATCTAATACTCTAGAACATGAAGGAAGGTATCCCTGAGATATGACATTAAGGTGTGGCACTGTGGGTTAATGTGCTGGACTGCAAGGTTGGTTTGAACCTCAAAGTTGGTGGTTCAAGTTCACTAGCCGCTCCTTGGAAACCCTACACAGGTCACTATGCCGATTCGACAGCACTTAACAACAACAAAATTACCACTAAGTCCGTTTAGACTCAGTGACCTTATAGGACAGAATGAAACTGCCCATAGGATTACCAAGTAAATAAATACTTTATAATAAATATAATAAACACTAAGTCCGTTTAGACTCAGTGACCTTATAGGACAGAATGAAACTGCCCATAGGATTACCAAATAAATAAATACTTTATAATAAATATAATAAACAAATACTTTATATTTACAGAGTAAATAAATACTTTACCAAGCAAAGATTTATAATCTGTATGGGAGCTGACTGACACATCTTTTCTCCCAGGAAGCCACTGGTGTGTTCGACTCACCTACCTTTCAGTTAGCAGCCAAGTGGTCAACCACTGCACTAGTGGTCCAACTCCACCAATGGCTTTGTGGGTAAAAGCTGTGGCAGTCTGCTTTTGTAAAGATTTCAGCTTTGGAAATCCTGAGGAGCACACCTACTGTGTTCTATGTGGTCACTACAAGTTGGAATTGATGCAACAGGCTTTTTCACATTAAGCCAAGATGTCAAAAAGAAAGCCCCTTGTTAAGAAGGCATGCAGGGTCTTGCTACCTGTCCACATGCAGGTGGCAATAAAGTGGGAAAAAAATTGAAGATGATTTAGTGAGTTAGCTTTAAACAACTGGATAGAAAGAGATACATTTGACTGAGGTAGAGCAGGAGGGGAATGCGGAGAAGATACACAATAAGACACTTGCAGAGACTGGAGTGCTTTAGGGTCACGAAGTCCTGGTGTGGTGCTGTGGGTTAATGCACTCTCTGTACTGCAAAGTCGGTTTGAACAGCCAAGTCATCGGTTCAATCTCATCAGCTGCTCCTTGGAAACCCTATACAGGGTCATTATGGGTCAGAACTAACTGGACAACATTTAACAACAACAGGATCAGTGGACAGGCCCATGATCTAGGTTCCCAGAACTGGAATTCAGAAGAGAGGTTGGCACTAGAAAGTTAGTTTCGTGGGACGACTTTTGGTACTTTTTCAAGTCATAGGAAAGGAGACTTTTTTTTTTCAGTGGACAGGCTTTAGAACAGAGATTGGCAGACTGCAGTCTGCAGGCCAAATCCGGCCTGCCATCCACTTTGATAAATAAAGTTTTATTGGAACACAGTCGTGCTCATTTGTTTACACAGCTTTCATGCTACCACAGTGTAGCTGAGTGGTTGTTGCAAAGACCACATGACCAACAAGCTTAAAATATTTCTTTTTTAGAACACATTTGCTGAACCTTGCTTTAATGGACTCAAGAGATACTGAGAAGAAACAGCTGATGAGGACAGGAAACATCCTAAATCAAATTAAAAGGGAAGGCTAAGGGGAAGGAAAAGATCTGGGTGAAGACAAAGAGTTTCACAAAAGACACCCCAAGTCAGTTGAGAGAAAGTCTGAAGGAGAAGTTCCTGAATTTAGAAGTAAGGCTGCGGGTGACCCAGAGAAGACTGGGGGACGTGGTAGTGGTCAGAAACCAGAGGCTTGAGGTCCCGAAGGAGAAATCCACATGCAGACTGGCTTGAAGAACTCCAGTGGTAAAAAGAAGGATTGAGAGAAAATGGTGGCGTGAATCAATAGGATCAGCCAGAAAGGAAGATACCAGTGAAGAAATTGAACATGACAATACACCAAAAGACAAAAGCTAGGGAGTGTGGAGGTAACTAAAATACAATTCCTGAGTTGGAGAAAGAAGACAGTGAAAAACAACAACCCAACACACACAGGATTAGGTTTGTAAAGGGCCAGGAATGTTCTTTCTCTGAAGAGGACTGAGGGTGAATACATGAAGATACTCATGGAGGAAGAAGAAAAGAAGAATGAAGGAAACATTCTTGGAGATTCCAGTTTGCTCAATGATGGAGGAGAGGGATGGGGCTGGGGAGAGGAGACTTGGAGGGAAAGCCCAGCTAACTTTCAGTGACTAAATATTCAGAAGTAGTTTGTCAGTCCTTCTTCCTAGTCTGTCTTCATCTGGAAGCTCATCTGTAACCTGTCCATCATGGGTGCCTCTTCTGGTATTTAAAATACCAGGGCATAGCTTTCAGAATCACAGCAACTCACAAGCCACCACAGCATGACAAACTGACAGATGAGTGGTGGAAATTAATAATTAGTGGCCTGAAGAACTGAGAACTTGGACTCCTTTATTTTTGGAGGGGAAGGTTGTTTTTAAGAATGAATGGAATACAATAGTGAATAACTGTTATCAGGACTGCTTGTGAGGGCTGGAAATGTAAAGGTAGACATTTTGTAGCACGGAGGGGAGTGATTAACTTTCCAGTCTAGAAGCGGAGGTCCTTAGGACCATCATGGGAGAAGAGCAGAGAGCAGGACCCTACCCAGAGAAGCAGTGATGCCTGAGATGGAGGCAGAGAAGATGACGTGGAGAGATGGAGCAGTTGAGGATTTTAGACCCAGAGAGGGAGAGGGGCTGTGTGCTGGTGACCCGGGTGGGCAGGTTTGCAGGGTATACCCTTTGGTTGGTTGATGATGCATGGAGGGGATTGTGACTATGGCAATGAAACAAGATACGATAGGATGAATGTAAAACTAATGTTCTTCCATGTAAACTATCACATAATTCACAATAAAAACATTAAAAAAAAAAAAAAAACTAGAATGAATGGGAACTCACTGCTGGAGTTTAAATGGAGGAAGTGATTTCCTTAGCATTCTCAGATAATGGGTCTCTCAATGACAATGTTCTGCCTCGAGTGATAACTTAATCAATGACAATGTTCTGCCTCGAGTGATAACTTAACCTTTTAGATCTGGGGTTGGCATAGAGCCAGAAAGTACATACTTAGGGTTTGTGGGAGACATGAACTTTCACTATTTTTAGACCTCTTTCAAAAAATATAAAAAACATTCTTTGTTGCTTTATTGTTGCTAGTGCCACTGAGTTGATTTCAACTCACAGAGACCATAGGGTTTCTGAGGAGCAGCTGGTGAATTTGAATCGCTGACCTTGTGGTTCAAACTAACCTTATGGCCCAGTGCTTATCCTACAGCACTAAAAAAATAAATAAATAAAAGAAACCCCATTGCTGTTGAGTTAATTCGGCCTCACTGTATTTGTTAAGAGCAGAACTGCTATTTGTTAGAGTAGAACTGCTCCCTAGAGTTTTCTTGGCTATAAATGTCTATGGAAGGACATCATCAGACTGACCCAACATGGTGCTTCGAACTGCGAAACTTTTGGTTAGCAGTTCAGCACAAACCATTTGTGCCATCCAATGACCTTAGCTTAAGAGTATACAAAAAAGATGGATTTTACTCATGGGCAGACCTGGTCTAAAGCACTGGCTTCCTTAGACCTGGTGGTGGCGGCGGTGTGCCATCAAGTCAAATTTGATTCATCAAAACCCTGTATAGGGTTTGTGAGGCTGTAAATCTTTACAGATGCAGAAAGCCTCATCTTTTTCCTCCAGAGTGGGAGTTGGATTCAAACTGCTGATCTTGTGGTTAGCAACTCAATTATGCCACGAAGACTCCTTAGCATAAGAGCTAGCTGTGGTTTGATTTCATTACAAAGGAATGTGTCAATGATAGAACTTCAGATGTGTAGCTTTTCTGCTGAGAGCTAGCGTAAGAGGCTTACTTTCACATACTACAACTCATCCCCCTAAGGAGTTATCCCAAGACTTTGAGTTGCAGTTTACATTTCCTCAAGATCAACCAGTTTAAAGAGAGAAAGAGAGCAAAAAGAGTGGCAAGTTACCTCAATTCCTACGGACTGGTTGTTGAGGTCGACACGAGGAAAGACTGGCTGAGGTCTGTTGATGAGCCACAGGAAGATGGCAGCTCCAAAAGTCAGGATACCGATCAGGGCCGGGGTTGGAAGTGGGGAAAACAAGAAGTTGAAGATAAAAAGCATCTTTGTGAATAGCAGCAGCAGCAGGAAATTCAGACCTTAAAAAGAAAAAAAAAAAAAAGGAAAGGAAAACTTAGAGGAAATGGCTGTCTTTTCTCACTCAGTAGCTCTCTGTTTACAAAAGGACACACACACCATCCAGCCCAAAAGCCAGGGTAAGAGCTCTAGTAGCTAAATGTCGCCTACGGTTTTACCTCAGCAATGTTGAAAATAACTATAAGTGTTCTCCACCCCTGCTAGTTGACTGTCCTCACACAAGGAGGTAACTATCAAAGAAAACAAGTTAATCATTTCCAGACAATTTTGAGCAATGTTACCCTTTTACTTTTGGCCCACGAAGCCTAAAAGAAGCTTTGCTGGACTTAACATAAGTGGCAGTAAGAGGAGTCTGCTTCAGAGAGCAGCCTTTGCCAGGACCCTAGAAGGTGGGGAAGGATTCTTCCAACTGGATTTCCCTGGTGTAAACCAAACAGAAGATAAGACTTTATAAACATGTCTTCAGGACAGGTGACTCCACAGGTATTAGAAAGCCAGCATTTTTATACCAAGGGGCCTTTCCTGCTGGCCAGAACATGCTCATTGCTTCTTTGGGGAGCACCAGGAGGGGCTCAGAAACTCACAACCTTCCACCTTGCCATGTTCAATTCCCTTTCCTCCAGGGGCCCAGAGGAACCATTTCTAGTTGCGGAAAACATTAACAAACTCCAAGTGGGCCCAATACATGGTAGAAGGTGAACATTGAAGATTTAGGCTAGGATGAGCTCTCAAGGAACTAAAAGCTACAAACTCTGTCCCCACCTCAGTTTTTCTTGTAGTATCCAGCCAAGTTCAGCTTCAAACCTCTCTGAACTTCATGCTTGATAAAGCAGAGGGTGGAGAAAACAGAGGAAGACGTTACTTAATGCGATGGATGGACACAGTGGCCAACAATGGCCTCAAACATGGCCGCTATGAGTTGGGACTGACTGACTACACCTAGCAACAACCGCCATCTTGTGGAAGGGTCCTAGGAACATATGCTTGTTGAAGCCATCTATCCCAACTCTTGCTTTACCACTTCCAGATGGCTTGATCGGTGTAATAATGCAGCTTGTGATCACAGCAAACACATGGGCACTGCCCGCCTGCCAGGCTTGCCTAAGACACACACCATTTCCACTGTTGCTTCCCTAGTAAAAGCTAGAAATCCACAACTCCTTTTTATTCTTCTAGAGTCTAGTGACTGAGTTCAAAGAGACCAAATGTGCGTGGCATCTCACAGGTGACAGTACATGAAGTTCAGACTGTATCTTCAAAACTTGCTGTAACGCCTGACAGAACAGTAGCTCAGAGATGAGAGTGTGTTCCCACTCAGAGTCAAAAGACCGAAGCAAGCCCAATAAATGGGCTTATCAGCTCAAGATCATGGTCTCCCTCAGAGCATTGGGCCAAGAGCCATTACCCAGCATTTGGAACCTTTTCCACAAAGGGAAACAATTCACTTCAGTCAAACAAAGGTTTTTTATTTATAAGCACAGGATTTGTGTATAGGGGTAGAAACAATGGCATGAATGCCTGAGTCACCCGTGTACATTTTCTGCCCCTTGAATGGTTGCTACCAGATTTTGGAATAGTCACTGTCCATTTTATGGAGGAAAACTGAACTCCCAGAGACTGGGATGATAATTCCCTGACTCTTTGTTTTCTTCCACATTGCATTTAAGGGAAGGGGAAAAAAAATCACAAAACAATATAAAAACAAGAGCAAACCCCCACTGGTATGAGGTTATTTCAGAGCAAAGGTGAGCTTCTGAGAGCTGGGGGTTTTGGAATCCAGCCTTACCTGGACTTAGATGGTGGAGTAGCACTGGAAAGGGCAAATAACCAAAAATGTCCAAGAGCCAGCAGGACAAGGTTCTCAGGCTAGCCACTCCCACCAGCAGAAGGGGGAGCCCTCCCCCTGGGGAATGTAATGCGGTGAACAGAGTAGGTAGCAATACCAATGGGAAGCAGAGATTTGCTTGGCAGTCACCCATCATGCCCTCTTTACCTATCTGGCAGGATTCTATGATCTGGGCTTTTCCCCTCGGTCTCTGTCCTACCTGTCCTACCTCTCCCCTGGCCCCACCTTTGGCACTGTATCGTCTCTGCTAAAAGAACAAATTATTTCACTGATGACTTTGACCTTCTTCTCCCAGATGGCAGATTCACATTTATGGGAGACTTTGTAAACAATGTCTTCAAAATAGAGTCTGAAAGTGAACTTGGTGCCAGAAATGCTGGGATGGAAGACAGGGAGTGGAGAAGAGGGAAGAACGAATATGCTGGCAGGTAGTACACTAGAGAAGACAGATGAAACCCATACCCAATATAAAGGAAGTCTCTGATTCAGCCCCATCTAACTGTTTCCATGCAGTGATGTGGACCCACCAACTCCAGTGGTCAAATGTTTTCCCCTAAAACTCAGAGAAGACTGAATTATTGCAAACTTCCTCAATTTTAACTGTCAGTTCAAGTTTTAAGAATCAGGCATGGGACAAACAAAATCACATCTCCTGGTTGAAGCTGGGCCAGGGCCTGCCAATTCCTAAACCTGACTTTTAGAAAGGCTTCAGTAACATTGCCCACAAATAGAACAGGACTGACCTCTTTGGTTCAAACAAAGGAGATACTCATGAATGCTAAGAGTGAGAATGAAAGCACCTTGCCCACACTGGCAAACAAAACAAAACAAAGCAAATCAAATAAAAAACCCAAACCAGTCCAGTTGCCAAGGAGTTGATTCTAGCCCATGGTGTCCTCATGTGTGCAGAGTAGAACTGCTCTATAGAGTTTTCAGAAGCACAGTTGCCAGAACAACTAACCTTATGCATTGTGGCTGAGTGTTTAACTCTTTGTGTTACTCAGGGACTCCTACCTACACTGGCAGGGGTTTCATTTTGCAGAAGACACTAAAAGATGTATTCAATTTGTTAAGTGAACTCACTCACTTACTGTCTACTATTGCTAGCCAGGCATCCCACTGAAGGAGGAGATGCACACAATTCCAGTTGCCCCCATACCACTTTTTTTTTTTTTTTTTAAATGCAAGTAAAATTTACATTGCATAGACTTCATTTTTAAAGTGTATAATTCAGTGGCATTTATTGCATTCACAATGCCTTGTAACTATCGGTTCTCTCTAGTTCCAAAACATTTTCACTATCTCCAAAAGAAACTCTGAATTCATTAAGTGGTCCATTTCCCATTCTTCCCTCCCCTCAGCCCCTGGTCAACATCTGCTTTCTTGCTTTCTGTCTCTACCAATTTAGTTCTTCTGGACATTCCAAGTAGAATCATACACTATGTGACCTTTTTTATCTGGCTTCTCTAATTAGCATAATGTTTTTGAGATTCATTCATGTTGTAGTATGAATCAGCACTCTATTCCTTTTAATGGCTGAGAAATTTTTCATTGTTTGGCAATACCATATTTATCCATTCATTAGTTGATGGATGATTGGGTTGTTTCAACCTTTTGTCCGTGGTGTTGCATTGACATGTACACTTTTTTGTTTGAACACCTATTTTTAATTATCTTTGAGTATACATCTAAAAGTGGAATTGCTGGGCCATATAGTAATTCTATGATTAAGTTTTTGAGAATTATCCAGAGTGTTTTCCACAACAGCTGTGCCATTTTACATTCCTACCCGACTCGATGGCACTTAACAACAACAACAACCAGCAACGTATGAGGGTTCCAATTTCTTATCCAGGACATCCTTACCAACACTTGTTATTTCTCTTATACTTCTTCAAATTATACCCTAATGGGTATCGCATTGTGGTTTTGATTTGTATTTCTCTAATGACTAATGATGAGGACACGTCTTTTTATGGTCCCCCACCATCAATCATTAGACAAATAGTCACTTACTTTTGGGTCATTTATATGTCTTCTTTGGAGAAATTTCCATTCAAGTTCTTGGCCCATTATTAAAAAAAAAAAAATGTGTGTGTGGGGCATCCATACATCCATACCACAGAGAGGAGAGGGTCTTAGAGGGAGAGGGACTTAGCACAAGAGGACTTGCTTGGGGTTGAAGCAGAGGATTGTCACAATCACCAGGTCAGAGAGTGGGGGAAGTGTTTCACTTGGGGCCATTCTAATGTGTTGTGACTTGCTCAGAAGTCTGTAGCCAAACTGGGAAAGGAACTCCCAGACCTGGGCCAACAGAGCTCTTTCCTCTTTTCTTCATCACTATTGCCTTTCTCCCTGGCCCATTGTTTCCCAACTAGAAGTGACATAAAGAAAAGAGGAAATGCCGTCACACCAACTGTTTAATTGGGTTTCTGTGGAGTGACTCAGCCAGAATTGCAACTTAGTGACACCGGTTGTATGACAGGTGGGGTGGTGGCTTTCCCCTTACTAACTTTGAAGGTATCTGGAAGTGTTAGCAGGGTTAAAGGTGAGAATGATAACCAAAGCTTCCTAGTCCAGCAATGGTATGACTTGAGGCTCTTGCTTTCTCTTTGGCCCTCTGTTTCCTCCATTTAAACAGTGAGAGAAGTAGATGAAATGGTCACAAATCCTCTCCAGCATGAAAAAGTGTGTGTGTTGTGCATCAAAAGACACAATTAAGTAAGTAAAAATACAGAATGGGTGTTAGTATTTGCAATTCATGTGCCTGATAAGTGCCTAGTATCTAGAATACATAAGGAATTCAACAAAAAAAAAAAGATAAGCAACCCAATTTTTAAAAACTGGTTTAAGAACTTGAATGGAGATGTCGCCAAAGATGATCTAGAAATGACCCAAAAGTAAATGACCACTAGTCTAATGACTAATGATGACGATAAAAAAAAGTGTCCTCCCTATCCACAGAAACAGCAATGCCAGAGATGGAGACAGAGACAATGACATGGAGAGATGGAGAGGTTGGGGACTCTAGACTCAAGGAGGGAAAGGGGGAGAGGGGTTGTGTACTGGCAGCTGGGGGGCTGGCATGCAGGGTATACCCTTTGGGTGTTTGAATAATTATATATTCCTGAGTGCTTCGGTGTACATAAAAAAAAC